TTTGAGGCTTTAGCAAACTACTACGGGACAAAAGAGCAACATGAAACGTCCCCAAAAAGATTATATACGGAATGAATATTCGCATAACATGTGGGTCCGGGAGGGGAACGATGAGGAGGCCCGGTCACAAACGAAAACCCGGAAAGTCCAGGGAGTCCGGGGAGCCGGGTTTGCAGGTCGAAATGTGAACAGATCAGTACAGACTTGTCCAAATTGGACAAAAAACTCAGAAAATGTACGTGGCCTGATTAACACAAGAATGGTTTCACAATCTGGCCAAAGACTGGAGCTGCTGTTCCTCCTTCCAAAGGCGAGCTGATGAGGTCTGATGATGACTGTATGGGTACCAAATGAATAGCCTGCTTAATTTAGGGCAATTTGGTTAATCATTTATCATTATGTGACTAGAGACTTTATTGTCCAATGAAATGCTAATCTCTAATGTTAATCTCATTTTGGAAGTCGTGTGGAAACTAACAAAATGTAAAGAGAGGATTTTTTATGTACTTTTCTTTATTTTAGTATTATTTTTACAGTTTTTAACGCACAGCCATAGCGAGGGCCTAGGAACCCGCCAGTGGAGCTGGGAACTGGACTATAATGTCATTGTTGGTGGATTTTGCTTGATTTTTTGTCAGGTTCTGTTTTCTCCTCGCACCATCTGGTCATGATTTGGTTTATTTCCTCTCTGTAATGCTCATGCTACCCCTGTTCCAGACTTGTTGAACAGTATTGCTCACGATCCGTTTGGCTTCGTGTTTAAGGGCTGTTCTGCATGATGTCGTTTATTCTCCTGTTCTGTTTCCCATGTGCATCTGATCACATCTGCCATCACCTCCTTCAACCTTTTGAGGTTACAGTTTGACAGGCATTTTAAAGTCTCAAAACCTGAAGACCGGCACCTCAGAGCTGTTAGCCCGATTCTTTAGTTGGAAGCCTGAGTATAAACCAGAGCAGATCAAAAGTACAAATATGACATTTATTGGTCACAAGCAGAGTAAACCAGTTGGGCTCTCACAGACAAAGCTCCTGGAGGATCTCAGTCTGTAAGAGCCTCGATTTCCAGGTGTTTGGACAGTTTTCCTCTGTCCTCGAACAGGAGGACGAGTGTTATTGGCCAGTTAGCTTTGACAAGAACAGGCCAGGTCCTAATTCATGCAGGTTTAGGTGGAATGTGATAAGAAAGTGTGGATGTTGAGCTTGAAGACGAGTATCTACTGTAACATAGAGAGGAGGAGGAGGCACAGCCAGAGAATTTAACCCAAAAGTATAATTCTAAAGGGAATATTATGAATCTAAAAAGGAATAAGACAGTCAGTCATTTACATGGATTAAGTTATAACATACTGTGCTAAAGTGAGTAATTATAGCCCAATTCTAACAGAGCAGAGCTGCAGAAGAACCTTAAGAAAGCAACAAGCTGGTGCATCATTAGTGGAACTGCCGTGGTTGATAGCACAGATGGAGCTAGTGACAGCATCTCAGGGCAGGAAGTGGAAATGAATACGTAGGATGGCTCATTATGAAAGTTCTGACTGGGTTATAGGTTAGTAGATGTAGAAAATGGGCAAACAAATGGTCAGGTTGTCAGTCAGAGAAGGGTCAGGGTTAGAGAATTCTCCTGATATTCCAATATGTAGAAAAACACAAACAAAATCAAACACAGCCAGCATGTCTCTCCCACACACACACACACACACACACACACACACACACACACACACAT